AGTCATCCACCAATAGTGGATCATCCCAATTTGGCTCCACTTTGTCAACAGGAACCTTTAAGTTAACATATCATGGTTAATCTAGCAACCAGAGTTGTTATGAGAAGTAGCAGTAAAATGTATATATACATGCATATATGTATAGGAATATGTATATGCATATTTACATTAAAAATACACTAATAGCATTAAAATTCTGAAGGTGAGAAAAATAAGCAAATAATTGAGGATAAAAACAGTACTTTTAATAAATTTACTTACCCAGTCAACAATCGTTCCATCCACACTATCTGCTTTCATGATTGCACTAAATTCTTCCATATCGATGGGACACTTTGTGCATGATTTGGACCAGTCATGAAGGCAATCGAAACAGAATTTGTGTGAGCACGAATCCGGTATTCCAACTGGTGGAGTAACACTGAACTGGCATATACAACAGAACTCCTCCTCCATTCTACAGCACGTCAGACGCAATTTATGGTTTAAAAGAGCGCGCTTCCGCCCTTGTTAACTTAAACAAACCTATAATGTAAAACTCATTGTGATTTTAAACAAAAATACATTAACTTCAAAATTTCTTGCCTATAATTATAGAATTAAATAAAAATTAAATCTCATTATTTTAAAAATTTATTATAGTGTACCATCATGCATTTCAAATTTATAAATTCAACAGTGCATTTTTTATCACAGCAATGAGCAAATGTATTAATCGATAAATGGGATGGCAATGAGATCTGATTAGGTTTTTATTAAAATGTTCCATTCAAAACAGTGTTTTTCAATACGTTATAAAGCCAATGAATATGTTTCTAATGAAGTGTGATTGGTCAATGAAATTTTCTAAACAACTTATTTGCATCCATTTGTTGATTTTAATAGCATTTATTTTTATTTAGTTTTAAAAACTGCAATATCTCCCAATTCTATGCATTTTTAAAATTTTACTGGTAAGTCCATTAACAATGGTGGCTGTTTAATGGAAGTCAAACTGGTCGGCGAAACCTGTTATAGTTATTCTGTTAATGATTTCTCCTATGTAATTCACTTCAGTAATCCACTGTGATATTGCAGAACATTATAACATTACCATCAATGACGCTGCGCAATTCAGGGGGCACTACAATTAACTTCGCTTAAGTACCTTTGTATTCTCACACTTGTCCCCAATTGAGCGTTCAGGCCTGCTAAGCCATGTTGATATCTCCATGTGGAATGCACTGTTAACTAGGTGCTCTTATGCACAAATTCTAATATTTCATGTTAAGCAATGTGAGGAGATGTTGCACTTCAAGAATCGTTAGGAGCTGGTGAAAGATGAGTGAAGGAAAGCAGTCCAGTGATCATTAATTTTTCGATAAAGTGGTGGAATTACGATTTCTGAGTACATTACTTTATTTCAATCTTTTAGTTTCCCTTAAATATTAATAAATTCGATTTGCCACCATTGTTACTGGACTTACCCATTGCAACACTTACGCCACCATTCACCATTCTCTGAATTTATAACAACAAACACTAACTTAGTAGGCAGCAAGCATAATAGGTCTCTAAAGTAGCTACGAGTAAAATTTTAAAAATGCATAGAATTGGGAGATATTGCAGTTTTTACCACTAAATAAAATAAATGCTCTTGAAATCAACAAATGGATGCAAATAAGTTGTTTAGAAAATTTCATTGACCAATCACACTTCATTAGAAACATATTCATTGGCTTTATAACGTATTGAAAAACACTGTTTTGAATGGAACATTTTAATAAAAACCTAATCAGATCTCATTGCCATCCCATTTATCGATTAATACATTTGCCCATTGCTGTGATAAAAAATGCACTGTTGAATTTATAAATTTGAAATGCATGATGGTACACTATAATAAATTTTTAAAATAATGAGATTTAATTTTTATTTAATTCTATAATTATAGGCAAGAAATTTTGAAGTTAATGTATTTTTGTTTAAAATCACAATGAGTTTTACATTATAGGTTTGTTTAAGTTAACAAGGGCGGAAGCGCGCTCTTTTAAACCATAAATTGCGTCTGACGTGCTGTAGAATGGAGGAGGAGTTCTGTTGTATATGCCAGTTCAGTGTTACTCCACCAGTTGGAATACCGGATTCGTGCTCACACAAATTCTGTTTCGATTGCCTTCATGACTGGTCCAAATCATGCACAAAGTGTCCCATCGATATGGAAGAATTTAGTGCAATCATGAAAGCAGATAGTGTGGATGGAACGANTATACATATATGCATGTATATATACATTTTACTGCTACTTCTCATAACAACTCTGGTTGCTAGATTAACCATGATATGTTAACTTAAAGGTTCCTGTTGACAAAGTGGAGCCAAATTGGGATGATCCACTATTGGTGGATGACTTTAGTCATGATGAGCGTGCGTTGCGTCAATATCCTCCAGTTCAAATGAATGGAGTTCCGGAACTTGATCATACAGTGAGGAGGATGCTAGGAGATCTTATTCTCCACATGTTTAGCAAAGAGGCTTTAGTGGAGTACCTGCAGACTAATGAGAATACCCTCACTATGGATGTTTCAAGACTGCTTGCACGATTGCAGGATTACCGTGACGCGTGGATAGTTGTGAGTTCTTTTCTATTCACTAAACATTCGTTTCGAAAACTCAATTGTTTGAGGTGACATTCTATTCAATTTAGAACCCAAGAGCACAACTTTCTTCCTACTGTGTTCTGGTACAAGGAAAGGTAATATTAATTTCGTCACTCTTGTAGAAAATGAAATAAGAGTGAATATGTTATAAAGTACTCTTATTTTTTATATAATTTTAAAAAGTCACATATTTTTCTATTCAAGGTTGAGGAATACTTAGTTCGAGACAGCCACCACGAATGTCTGAACGAATTGAAGTCTGATTTGGAAGAAAGCGTGTTGTTGCTGCAGCAGATTACAACGCAATGAAATTCAATTTGATTGCATCTAAAGTTCCGAGTGATGGAGTTGGTCAAATTGATCTATCACACATCTGCTAATGTATGAACTAAGAAAGTGTGATTTCATTTCATTAATAAACCCTCATGCTAATGCGATTTTTAATCCTCCTTTCTAAAGCTCTTTAATGTGAAATATTTGTATTTCATCAATCCAGAAGGTATACTTGAGAAATTGGAAAAATAGTTAAAAATTGCCATCGTAAGAAAGCCAACGCCTGTCATTTGATATAAATAAAAAAATAAATTTTTCTTTTGAATACCAGGCAATATTTGAGTACTTAAAAGAATTTGCCTAGATGCCAAAAATGCAAACATATTTTGCCAATTATGAAATGGGTGTAATTATTTGTAAATTAGCATTTAATCAATTTTGAAGCCACTTATTCGGAGTACCTTGGGGTACGCGATAGACTTACTTCCAAGTGATGCATCCTAGACAACGTATACTCTTTCGGAAAAAAAGTCTTTTATTCGGCATTTGACTTTAAATTATTTAGATCATCTTGAAACTATGCTATATGAGAAATTCCCCGTGTCAGGGCAAATCCCGACTTCTTTTGATCCTTCAGTGGGATGTCACAGGACAAGAAGATATGATATAGACATATTCACAATCATGGAAGCCAACCTTACGAATGACAACCACAAATACTACCAATTCCCAGGTTACACCTTATACCTTGTACCTAAATACTAGCAAGTTGCAAGTGAAATTGTGACTGGAGTAAAAGAAGGCCTCACATCACATTACAATCTAATAAAGAGTATGGGCTCGAGGCAAGACATGTGCGAAATAACCAGATTAAATGTTTAAAAATGTCAAAACCACTTCAAGATAGTCCCAACTTTGATCTTCTGAACGTCTCACACAAAATTGTAGTATATGAGACTTCAACACCCATTCCACCAGATGGGGCTATAAGGACATAAACATTACTGGAAAGGATATCGAAGGCATACTTAACAGCAGCCCTCTACAACTTATTTATATCAATGAGGATCATGCTACATATCTGCGCTACAATGGAACCAGAACAACTCCTGACTTGCTTCTGGTTTCAAGCTACATCAGCTAGCATACGCACTACGAATTTATTTATTTATTTCAAATGGCAGGCGTTTTGATAGCTATCATTAGCCATTTAGCTGACTTCGGGCTTCACAGAGGGAAGGTTCATCAAAGTAGCAGAACGTCGAGGGGTGGGGAACAGAAGAGCGATTCACAGATGTAAAAGAGTCAGACAGACACAAAGGCAGAGAAGAGGGTAAGATGAGTACTGTGGAAACGGTCGAATATGACAAGCAGTCGTGCCATGGTATTTTGAATTCAGAAGTCAACTGCCGATTAATAGACTTCTTTCCCGTATGAGTATACGTTGCCCAGGGTGCACCACGTGGAGGTAAATCTATCGCACGACGTAAAATTATTGAAGATCCTGGTTC